ATCAGCTAAGTGGTCTAATAATATAAATTTTGACCAAAATTTGGATTTCCCCCTTTTCTACTGACCACCTCCCATATTTCGAAATCCGGACTCCTTTATTTAAAATAGAATTTATGGATTAATAATTTTGGCCGATAATACAATTGCGAGTATCTTGTGATTGGATGATCCAAATCAATGAATGTTAGCTTATTGGATTCGCCTAGTTTCGAGAAATTGAATGGTAGTTGTTTTATATGAATCGGAGCAATATTGGCCGAGATCGTACATCTTTTGTTTTTATTGTTTTTCTCAATATGAAAAATCATGTGATATAATGTCATTTCGACTATTTCGCGACTTTATCCTCCAATGGTCGAAATTATTTCGACCATTTCGACCATTTCGGATATTCAAAATAATCCATTTTGACTTCATGTATACATATAATAGTCTACTTTTTGTAAGTCTATTACTTTTTTTCTTTCTTTTACATAATTTACAATCTTCTTTTAAACTATTTTTCACAAACTTTTTATATAAAAACCTGTTTTATATCTTTAGTTTTATTTAGATATTCTAAATGATTAGATAGAAAATCTATTAATTGTATGTATTATCTAATCCAAAATATGTTGAATGAATTAGTAGTTATTTTTCATCAAAATTAATATTTATTTTTATAACATTTAAACTATCTTTAAACATTATACTATGCTTAGTACTATTATTAAATGATAAATAGTTTCAAAAATAAGAATAATATAATTGATAATTTGATCAATTAAATGATCTGCTATTTATTAACCTTCTTTATTTTTTTCTAATTTTAAATATTTTATGTTTCAACAAAAATATTTAGATTCAATGATGATTATTCAAAAGTAAATTTTAATTAACTAATTGTTTTAAGCAAAAATTTACTAACTATTATTATTTTACCTTGACTTTTTTTCAAAGTAAAGTTTTCCAATTGATATTCACATTATTGGATAATTATCATTTACATAAAACAAATATCTATCATATAAGATAAATATTTACTAGAGAACGAAATCTGTTCAAAGTCTGAAGCATGGTATATAAATTATATTATCATATTTCACATGATTAATCATTTTGTAACACAAAAGACATAACACATGATAACGTAAACAAAATGTCATTAGTTATCAGGCTTGCCAAATTTGGACAGATAGAATGACCTTACATTTAAATGACCTAGAAGTAAGATATCCTCCGCTATGCTTCAGACAATAATCATTAATTATTAAAAATTTTTGTATTATCTTATCTTTAACGAATGTTAAAATAAATTATTCAAGTTCTTTTAATTCTTTTAAAAATATAATATGATACTCTAATACATTATTTTTTTCATAATTATTAAATATATTAAATATACAGTGAACTCTTGATATAATGAATTCTAGGATCTGAATATCAATTTCATTATAAGCTTATAACAAATTTTTTAAAGAATTGTATTGGCTAGTTCAATATAGTAAAGGTAATTTTAATATATTTGATTTAAAAATTCGCTATATCAAGAGTTCGCTATATCAAGGTTTGACTGTATTCCTTTTTTTTAAGATTATAATATTAAACTAACTTTTTTAAAACATATTCAAATGTTTTTTTTTATTTGACATAATTTCTATTTGTGAAAAAAATACTGAATTAATAAAGTTTTAATAATCTTTTAGAGTAGTTTTCCTACTATTTTACTAAATAAAAATAAGACTATTATTAATAACATCCCATCATCAATAAATAACTTTGTTTTTTGATAACATTCTTAATTATTTAATTGTTAAAAAAATATATTATAAGAAGTTTAAGAATAAAAAGAAGAAATATAAATAAAAAAATAGCTAAAATTATTAAAATAAAATTAAAAAATTATAATTAAAAAATTAAGAAATAAATTAACCTACCAAATTTGCATAAATATAATATTTATAAAGAACTATTAGATATGAATAAACCATATTTCTAATATAATTGAATCACAATTAATTGTAATTTAAATAGAAAAATAATAAGTAATATGAGATAAGTGCTATGAAAAAATTAAATTGAAATTTTTTTTAAAAATTTATTTCTAAATAAATTAGATATAACTTTTTGTTATTTGATCTAGAACTTTAATTATTTTAAAAAAGTTTTTTTTTTACAATTTAATCCTTTTTTACAGCACTCATCTCATATATATTATATTTAAAGATAATATTACAACTGATTTGAAAATTTTAAAACTATTTATAATCTAGGTAATTACCTAAAAATTGTATACTTTTATATTATAATTCTCATATGTAAGATTTTACAACTAGTTGCAATCTAAATTATAATCTGAAAAATTGTAATTTAATAATTGTAAATCTATCTTTAATCATATTATTATAAATGAAATAAAAATAATTTTCATATTGAAAATATATAAAATAAATTTCTAGATAATATTATTATAAGTTTCTATAAGTATGCTTAAATTATAAATATATAAGAATTATAAGATTATAAATAAATATAGATTTAATAAATAAAGAATGTAATTTGTAAAATATATATATAATTAATAATTTTAAGAAATATAAAAAAAAAATTTGCATCTTGAAATTAAAATCAAAAAATATAAGCAAAAGCTGATTATTTATAAAGTATTTGTATAAGTGCTAAAAACTTTTAAATTGAAAAGTTCTAGTTTGTTAATTGAAACAGCATTAGATTATTCATTTGTAATTATTACTATTATATAAACCTTAATTAGTGATTGATAAGTGATTTGACATTTTATTAACTGATATATTTATATTATTTAATAATATACTTAAGATGATTTTATTGATTATTTTTTTAAGAAATTATATTTAATTTAATCAAATAATATTATTATATTACTTTAATTTATAAAATATTTATAAATTATGATTATATATAAAAAAAATAATCTATAGATATTTTTTTCAACTTATATTTTTTTTTAAAAAAGGGTATTTTTGTAAATCCTTTAACAAATAATATATATTGTGTGATAAATAAAAAATTAATAATTGAGTTGTTTATTTAATTAAATATATATATATTTTTTAGTAAAAACGAAACATGATTCAGGATAATAAATAAGCTATATAAGAATTTTTATTTTATAGTTTTAATTAAAAATATCTTAATTTAAAGTATTATTTAAAAATAATTAGTTACTAACTAAAAAAGTCATAATTTTTTTCCGACATTTTTGAATATAGACAGTTATGTTGCTCCAATGTCTTAACCTACATACCTGATAAACCTGTTAGGACGATCTTTGTAATTACCGAATCAGGTGTTTTCTTTCGGATATAAAGTTTTTAACTTTAATACCACAAGAGTTTTGATCTTCGTTATTATATAATTTTTTTTAAAAATGGGAGACAAAAATAATAATAAAAGGAAAAGAACTTATTCTAGTTCAACCGAAAATTCTGGTAGTAAAAAAAATAAACGTGAACCGGGTGAAAAAATGTTGGAAAAAAAAAAGATAGAAAAGAAACTTGAGAAAAATGACGAAAAGAGAAATGGTGAAAGAAAGAATTCTCTTCCACGAAGACCTAATGTTGACCAAGAGAACCAAAATGGATGTCGTTCTCATAGTTCGTCAGCTCATCCCGGTGTATTTTTAAATTCTTACGATTTGGTACTAGAACTGGATACTTTTGCTAATCAAAGCAGTTCAAAGCAAAGGAATAAAAAAAATACTTATTGTTATACTAAATGTAAGTTATCAAACATTTTTTCATTACTTAAATAATGATTTTATATTAACTTCTTAGTATCAACAGATTTTCCAGATGATGATGATGACGATTATGCTGTTGTAGACATCATTTACCCAAGTGGACAAAAAGAGAAGTATGTTATCGACTCGCTTAGTGAATTTGATCAAGTAGCTAACATTATATATATGCGTTTATATATATTAGATTTGCTTTAGCAAGTTCATCCAAATTTGAATATGACCCTGTTGATGAATTATTTAGATTTGTAGAAACGTTTATTTTTTATTTTATTAATAATGGAGTTAAAACTGATGATGAAGTTGATGAACATTCAGATCCAAAACCACATACCGACATCCAAAAACGGTTTACTTATTCTAAAGAAGGAAAGATTAGAAACCAAAATTCAATATACAGGGACCTCCGATCTTCTTTAAGAACCAAGCGTAAGGATAAGTTTATTGAAGCAATAAAAAGCTTCAATAGTCAAATGGATGACTTGGTTCAAAATAATGACCTAGAATCGTTTCTTAAAGTTAGGAGACCTGAGAGCTGCTTTTTAGAATTTATGTTAGAGCAAATTTATGCTCGTTGCTGTAGCGAAACTCATTTACCAAATATCACAAAGGCTAAATGTAAGTTTTATATCGTCAATATTCGAATATTACGATCTTAACTGATTTTACTAAAAATTTCATTTTATATTATATTAATTTTTAGCATTTTCTGATGCTACTTATGGCGAATTACAATTTGCTCTTGTTGAAGAAATGATCCAAAAAGCAGGAATAAATAGCAATTCAACGTTTATTGATTTAGGATGTGGTATTGGTAATATAGTTATTCACATAAATGCTAGGATCGGGTGTGATTCTTATGGTGTAGAATCGAATGAAGCGCGATTTGATATAGCAGATAGGCAAGTAAATGAATATAAAGGCAGGATGGCGTAAGTATTTGTTGATTGATTGTATTTATTATATAATATTATATTTATTTACAAAATTGGTTGTTTCTATAAGTCTCTGGGGTTTAGATCAAACTGGTACAGTAGAAGTAAAGAAAGCCGACTTTCTCAATTCGGATTATGTGATCCGTTTATTGAGAAAAGCAGATATAGTTCTCACTAATAACTACGCATTTACTTCGTCGACGAATGAAGCCCTTACAAGATTATTCTTGGATATGAAGAAAGGAGCTAAGATTATAAGTCTTAAAGATTTCAGAACAGGTGCTAATCGTAATGGCCCGGAATCGATTTTAAATGTTGTCAAGTATTCTTATCCTCCAGATAGAAATTATGTTTCATGGACCAACGCCGACGGTTGTTATTTTGGTAAGCTTTATATAGTGAATTGCAAGTTTTATCATTTAAAGACTTATGATAATGATATTAATAACATTTTCCTTTTTCTGAATAATATGTCAAGTTTCAACAGTTAAACATAATTGATTTTTTTATTTTATTATAATTATTCAGCTTATTCGTCTAAAGTGAATTTTTTTTATACTAACCTTATTGATGATGTTTTTAGATATTTTATTTAGATATTTTTTTTTATAGAATTTTTTTATTATTAAATATAAGTTATCTTTTTTTTTATTATTATTAATTTTAAGTTTTTAATATAGAAAATGTGACAATTGCATAATTAGTGACATTTAATTTAAATATTTTAATTTAATTGTTATATCAAAGTTATCTTAATATAATATAATGAAATTATTGAAGTTATTGCTATAGATAAATTTATTATAATATATGTCTAGAATAAGTATTTTACAATTAATTTAAAAAATTTTTAATTTTAATAATTAACTTAAATTAAATAAATACAAAGTTAACTTAGATTCAATAAATTTAAATCATATTTATGAATTATATAATATATATAGTATATTAATAAACAAAAAAAAATAATTTATTTTAATTAGATAAGCAGATCTATTACATAACAATTTAGAAATTACCAATATAAACTTAAAACTTATATTTAAATTTTAATGTGAAAAAAATTTTTAAATGTTTAAACTAAAAATAATATTTTCAATTATTTTTAAAATTTTTTTAATAAGTTTATTAATAATTTTAACTTAATAATAATATGTATATAAAATAATTATATAAAGATAACTATATAGAAAGTTAATTATATTATAAATTTCAATGTTTAATTATATATTTATATAGTTTTGATATTATAATATTTCTATTTAATTTTTTTTAAATAATTTAATATATATATATATATATATCATATTATCAAATATTATTATAAAATTTTAATATTATGAAAATTATTATTTAATTATATGGGAACATTTCCAGTAAAATCAAGTTATGAGATATAGTAAATCATATGGGAGCTGATCTATTAAAAATGGGTTATGGGAAATTTTTACAAAAAATGAGATTTTTGATTCATATTATAGTATATTATATGAACTTTATTTGGTTAAATTTTTA